TATATATATATATATATATATATATATATATATATATATATATATATATATATATATATATATATATATATTACCACACACGCATACTCCCACGTTATATATACGCTAAGAAACAGAAAAGAGAACAGAAAAATTATCTATCCACATATTTGGATAAATAAAACATGAATAATGTTTTAGATAATTGATAAATGAAAAATGAGCACTCGGTTGTTTCAAACGAGTTTGGGTCGTCACAATTTGTGCACGAGTAAAGCCTAGGTCCCAACCGAACGTACGGGCTGCAACGTGTGTTCTACGGCCAAAAAAATGGGGAAAACGTGGGAGTTCGTGCGTGAGGAGCACGTCCATCGTGCAACTTTTGGAGGACGCAAACAACACCACTTTTCACCTATTATTTGATTCCTTGCCGGACGCAAGGAACTAAGAAACCGTGCGTCCAAAACGTGGTTGGGACCTATGCTTAACACTTCACTGCGCTAACTGAGAGAAAAATATAATCATTTGGGTTAATGCGCCATTTACTCTTCTGTTAAAGATGTAATAAGAAATCCTCGTAGTAGTACTGATAACATAGTTAAATATGATGATGTTTTAAGCTAGGTTGGCTCGTCAGCTTGTGCGTGGAAGGCTGATTGGAACAATCAGAAGCAATATTGAAGTAAGAGTTGCATGCCGTCTGTTGGGCCCACTCAGAATAGGGGACTAACTAGTCCGAGGGTCAAATATGGCGGACCCACTTGATACTTCCCCACGGGATATCTATTCACTGTCTATTAGTGGATTAGACGGCAAGCTTTGTAGTGTATCCCTATATTTGTGGTGTGTCCCCTCTAAAGCCTCGGTCTCAACCGGCCGTACGGGCTCTTACGGGCTGTTTGCGTCCAAAAAAATTTTGCGCAGTTGGAGGACTTCGCATATAAATAGCATGCCCCGCCTCCCTGTCCAACAAACCAGCACAAAATCGATTCACGCAAGTCCTTCTTACGAAATTTCGAGTTCGCAGACAGCCTGTAAGCACGTACGGAGGATGGTGGACATGTCCAAAAGATTCTACGAATAGCCTGCGAACAGAGAGGCCGCAAGCGTAACTTGCTCCCCTTGCACGGAGTTAGCAAGAGAGACGCGCGTTGTGCAAGACGCACGTCGCAAGCAATAAAGGAGCAAGTGCCCTTTGCGTGTTGAGTAAGGCTTAAGATCATTCGGCTAGCTTTTATTCACGCCATGTAATTCCTGATTAAGAGCGTACGGTGACGTTGCTCTTCAGGTCTATGGACCAATTGAGTGGAACGATCTCCCTATTTATTTAAAAACAATAGAGTCCGAGGACAATTTAAAAAAGAATTAAAAACTTATATATTCAAAAAGTTTTATAATTGATTTGACTGGCTGTTATCTTTTACACTGTACAGTTATTTTTAATATCTTATCAATTTAATTACATTTTAGTCCACATCTTTAGTTCTTGTCTTATTATTTTAACTACCTTTTCATTTATTTTAGTCATCTTTAGCCATGTAAAGTCTACTGAACATTTTATATGGATTTTAGAATATATATATCGAATTATGATCACTGCAAAAAGTGCCAAACAGGCTTTAATGCAGACATTCCTTATCTTAACGATAGACCTAGACACCGATAGACCTATCTGTGGGCATATATGTGCCAGTTTTGAAAATATAAGGGACAGCAAATTTGCAAATTTCAGTTCATGGTGAAAAGTAGGCCAAAGATCAATTTTAAGGTCACAGATTAGCAGTATATGACTTCCTACTCAAGTTCAATAGTAACTATGGACGTATCTCTGCCAGTTTTGGAGATAGGCCTATAAGGGTCCGAACATTTGCAAAGTTCAGTTCATGGTGAAAAGTATTCCAACGGTCAATTTCAAGGTCAGAGTTAGATTGTCAGAATATGACTTTCTATTCAAGTTCAATAGTAAATATGGTCGTATTCCTGCTAAATTTGGAGTTATTTCCGTTTTATTTTCACCACTGAACATTGTGATGTACATGCATTGTGATATACAACTCTTAAACCGTATGGAAAACAAACAAAAACAAACAAACACTACTTCCAGTTGTGTGCTTGACAAGCTCTATGAAATGCAAAAGACAAGAGGTCTCTAGCATTTACGGTTCCAGAATTAGAGACAGTTTTTAGTTTTGTCATCTAATGGCTGCTTCTCCTTGCCCATAGAAAATTCTGGTCCGTTTGACCTTGAAACAAAGGTCAAAGGTCAAATCCAGGGGCATATATTTGAAATCTTCACATGTGACTTTCGGCCAGCCATCTTTATAAAATTTTTCCCATAATAAGGTCGCGCGTCAAGGTTATTTTCAGTTGCACCCTGGATTACGCACGCTTGCTCCGCAAGGTGTCGCCTGTGGTGGGGGGGCATCACAGCCCATATGGTTACTGTGGCGAAGGTGACAGGTACTTCCAAACATTTTTTCATAACTGTCATTTTTCCTTATTCTATTCATGAATTTGATATTTACGGCAATTGAAAATGTGGCACCGGCAAAAGTGAATCTAGGTGCGTTGACAGGCCGCACAGGTGTCCCCAATTAACCGCCGCCAGAGAAGAGACCCCAAGCATTAAACAACACAACCTGTAGATATTGGAAATTTGGAGAAAGTTAAGCAACTGAGGCTTTATTAGATTTGGACAGAAATCGGGGGTAATGCCCAGTGACATGCCAAACCCCTAAGTTCAAGTCTTGGCCCTTNCTTGCTGTGGCAGTGTCCTCCTCAACCTATCGTGCACCGCAGGTTTTGATTTTCAATGTCATCAAAAATGTTTATTGTTGTTAGTTTGATTTACGTATCTGCTATTCAAATAATATCGTTTGGAAAATAACTAACTGATTTAATTATGCTTTTGCAACATGAAATCATCATTAACTTTGCCGGTTCACGTGTATACAGTACCTTGCTATCAGTGCTGCTCTTTTCTCCCTAACTCGTCACTGACAGGCTAACCACATCGTTTCAAAACAACGTTGGTATGCTCCTTTACTTTTGGTGTTGGCAGTTTCGCCCCGGGGACATCGTTTTTGGTTAAAAACAACGTATCGTTTTCACCCATCTATACATTGCTCCTGTACAAAATGGCCGCTTGCTGCCCCCCCAAGGGAAAAATCGTAGCACGTGGGTAGTTACGCAAGACCTGTGACGTATAACGCGCGCAAGGTTATTCCTTCGGTTTGGGAGATTTATTTAATTTTTTCATATTTTGGACAAGGGTGCATTGCGACGAGCGCCTAGACCCGTGCACCGACAAAGCCCAAAAGTAACATGGAACGAGTTCAGATTATATGTGACCTAAATCCAAGAGTTGGGAACACACGCTCTCGTAGTCTAGTCCTGAGGAGAAGAGGTACGGTGACATGGCGGAGGAGGCCGGCAGATGAGACATGGCCGGCAGATGAGACAGGTAGGGACTAAAACCATGTGTACCACCAGGTACAAAAAAAAAAAAAAAAAAAAAAAAAAAAAAAAAAAAAATCTAAGGTCACTGTTAGATTTCACTACAGGTACATATAATAAAAATGAAAACTGATCTATTAAACTGACGTTGTTGTTACCGTATTTGGTTCCCATGTACTTTAGAAGGGACTTTATTTTACTTTTTATAATTTTTAAATCTTTAGAAAGATAAATTAATTACTCGTTAGAATTAAATTTGGATTTTCGTTGTGCTATGTACTGAATAAAGGCGAGAGCAGAACGTCTATGGGTCGGAAAGGACTCCAACGGCAAGCGTTTAATTCGATGGGCGACGAGGTAAGGAAACCTTATACTTAATGTTTACTCTTGCTGAAAGCATAGTCTGATGGCTATAAAACTTACTTGTATCGATAGAAACCCAACAAACAACGAGCAAAATAGCAACAGAGGAAAACTTGGTCATCCTGTCAAGATGGTAAATGAAATCTTCCAAAGTTTCGGTTCTGCTTAATCGGCACGCCTTGTCCTCAATCTGAGGACTTTCCTTGTACTGGACCTTTTATACCCACTGTTAGTGACGCATTAACCTCATGGCTCTTAATTCTTAGAAGAAGTTTCACCTTAATATGAAAATCCCAATGATAAAATATGATAAGACATGTTTTGTCAATATTAAATCTGAACTTTGACAAAGCTGGGGTAAACCGGAAATTAAGCAAACAGAAAGTAAACATTACACACCTTTTATGAATTAGTGAGAAACTAGTAAAAACTGTGACCTTTATCTCTGACCAGGGTCGGATCCAGGATCATTTGAAGGAGGTGGGTCGCGGACGCGAAGCCGACCCTCCCCGCCCGCTTAAGGGCCCCGAAATAATTTGGTATTTTAGAGGGCGAACGGTGCTATTTGGTACGGTTTAGAACTAAAGTATGATTCAGCTAGTCAAAATTATAATTTCAAGCGGGGACCATTGGTGTGATTTTTTTTTAGGGATTTTTTTGAAGGGACACAATGACCCCCCCAATCTAAATCCGCCACTGTGTGACTAATTCTGTAGTTGTCATATGACAAAAGTGCTCATGTTACACCAGCAGTCATGTAGGCCTCAAAGATGTGTTGCTATGTTCATGTAGGTTATCATGTAAGCTAACCGTTGAGTCAACATTTGATGCTCATGCATGAGTACGGCACCCTGAGCTTCAGAGATAACTTGCCACTAACCTCTTCACTATAGCCTATCTTCATCGTGTCAAGTAACTGTTAGTGACGCATTAACCTCATGGCTCTTAATTCTTAGAAGAAGTTTCACCTTAATATGAAAATCCCAATGATAAAATATGATAAGACATGTTTTGTCAATATTAAATCTGAACTTTGACAAAGCTGGGGTAAACCGGAAATTAAGCAAACAGTAACTTGACACGATGGAGATAGGCTATAGTGAAGAGGTTAGTGGCAAGTTATCTCTGAAGCTCAGGGTGGAGTACGGCCTATCCTGTCTCAAAACCGCCAGAGGATTTTTATTTTCTCAACTATTTGATCTGTGTTTGACATTTTTGTGTTTAGCATTTAACTGCACCCATGTACCAAATATTGAGTACCGTGTAGCTATTAAATCCCACGCTGTCTACATCATACGTGCTAGTGCGCAAGCCCCCGACAGTGTTAATGATAGGGGGATTACGATGGACAGCGCAAGTCGCTCACAGCGGGAGTCAGTGTCGCCGCTGTTAAGCCGGTAATTAAATCTATAACTTGACTAAACATGTTTTCTTTTGTAACTTGCGTCCTTCAGTCTTGCTGTTGCGGAAGCGCCGGCGGGACATATCTCCACCTTGCCGATATATATCCCGACTCTCGACTTTATAAGTATTATTGTTTTTGATTTTTATCAAAGTCTTATTATATCAGAAAACCTGCATATTTTCATACGTTAAGAGAATTATAGAAACTGTAGAAAAAGCTACTCGTACATCAGGGATAGAAAACAAGACCTTGCAGCACTATAACCTATTATTCATCACCAGAAGTTCCTGTTTCTCTGGATTTGATTAAAAGTAATAAAAGTATATTTTGAAGAATTTTTCCTAGCTTTCGGCAATTTCCGCAAAGCTTCGGCATGCGTGGCAATACAGAGCTGCCGATATCAGTGTGAGAGAGTAATAGAATTGGTGGAACAACGGTTACCGTCGTTGCATATTCAGTAGCCTATTCGACGGGAGTTCGAGCCCCTGAAGGTACTGTCGCGTGCTTTTGAAGATTTTGAAATTGTCATTTTTATAGATATATATATTAAAGTAAAATGGTTGTGGCTAATTGTTTTTGCAACGGAAAGCAGAGTAGGGAGGTTTGTTGTTATTGTTAAAGTTATTATGACTGGGGCCATGAATTAGTATGCTAATCTCTTATCATGGTATAATGATTGATATGATGGGTATCAGCTAGTTTTCATTTGATATAAACGACGAAAGAGCGGCCTTCCAAATATCTTAGCTGAATGTTTATAACGTAGATACTATTATGCGCATAAATATTGATACATGACGCAAACGACATTTACTAATTTTCGGTAATATCAATTTTAATCGGAATTAAGATTAAAATTCGTCTAAACGTGCATATTACCATACACCGTGTTTAAAGGGTTCTCAACACTTTACATCCTAATACAGTTTGCCAATTTTCATGTTTGCTGGTTTATTCTGATTTGAGAGAAAGAGATAGAAGACCCTCTACTAAGGCCGCAAATTAATTATGAGTATTTTTCTTCAGTGCAAGAGACTGTGTAATGAAAAATCAATCTGTAACTCTGGTATAGGGTGGCCTTGTGTGTGTAATGATATACAAGTTGGGGCGGGGGTACAGTTTTATAGTACAATAAGTCATTTTATACATCTAATTGATCTCATCGTCGGGTCATTGTTTACAATAGCGCTTTGTCGCTGTGCATTGCGTACCTTTTTGCATTTGAGTAACAGCTGGTGATTTTGTCTTTTTTTGCGTTTCTTTGACAATATTTTGGCCACCTAAGTAGGGCAATGTGGCTTTTTGTTTTGAAATGGCATTTCCATTGTTCCTTTGAACACGCAAAAGTCTTCACCAGGAAGCAGATAACACTTACGTCAATATACTTGCTTTGTAATAAGCACCAAGGGAAAGAAACAAAAGCCTGATAAGGTGTCGTCCTTCACACTGTAAAAGGTGTTAATTTCGTGCTTCTATTGTTTGCCCATGAATCATTATGATAAAATTGTAGGGTTGCCAGATCACTCGCGCTTCATTCAATTCTCCATATCTGCCCTGCAGCCTGGGATGAGTGACCTTTGTTTACATCTGGAGATTCTCTTTATAATTCGGTCAGTGTGCAAAAATTATGATATTTTCCATCTGGAAAAAAACCGTGATAATGTAACGATTCTTATTTTACGGATACATAATTACAAAAAATTAATTCCTGATATAATACTCCCTATTTCAGCGCCTATTCCTGGCTGCGTTAATTATGGGGGG